GTAAAGGTATGAGTTTGACTTGAGCTATAGTATTTAAAAATATATTTATTTATACAGGTTAGTCTCATTGACAGAATCTGTTTTTCAAGAGACCTTGTCACATTAACATTAACGCAAACGTGATATAATGTCTCAATTGCACAGACTGCACAAAACCATGGCCCGCACATGAGTCCTTCAGTTAGTTCGCACAACATTAATGCAGTCAAACGCACCCTCATCCACCTGGCAGATCACTGTGTTTCTGGACTTGAGGGAAACATTTGACAGAGCAAAGCTCATGATGGTGACTCCTTCTATAATCAGTGTGTGGTTCTATAATTGTCTGATACAGCCTGTCTAGGACTGCTTACTTTAACTCGTTGATTTCTCAGTCACTTAAACAGTTCAGTTCGTTTGCATATCTAGATTTTTTTTAAAAATAGTTTTCCCTTGATGTCCAACTGTTTGGTATTTGTGAACTCATCCAGTAGCCTAATAATAGTTACTGCTAACATATTTGAGGTAATTGACTCATATCTAAATTTGTGAAAATGGCTGGTGTTATCACATCTACCTACTGTGAATATCTTCATACTATTAAAATGATCAACATTTTAGATAAAGTAGTCAGACAAACTCTCAGAACTCACCTGAAGATGAAAGATTATTGAACCAATTCAGCCGTTCAGTTACCAGTTTTCAACAACACACTAGCATGTGTTGTCAGTGACTTATCACGCTTATGAGAAATGAAGGCCAGCCCTTTTAAGTCTTATTTTCCCTGTTGGTTTGTAAGTGCTGTGGAATGTGGGGGATGAAGCAATTCCCTTTCCTGCAGGGCTGTGCTTGACTTGGGCAGGAGCTCACCGGAGCGGAGTACCGGCACCTCAAATGTTCTACTGCTTGAGCTCCTGCACCTCTTATAGAATATTAGCTTAAAAGTATTGTAGAGCTCCTGCACCTAAATATAAAAGGTACCTGCACCCAAAATGAGTAGTGGCACCTATTTCAGTCCAAGTCAAGCACTGCTGCAGGGGTTTGCAACCTTTAATATCAATCACACAATGTCTTTTGAGGGGACTGTGGGGAAAATAAGATATGGGGCCATCTTGTGCAATAGTACATTGAAATAGCTTTCTCTGTTATTATTCCACCCTGGGTATTCTAACACATAAAAAGAAAATGCTAGGTCAGAACCTTCAACATTCATAGTTAAAACCTCTCTGACAATCAAATTGATTTAGTGAGTCGTGTCATTAGATATACTTGTATTGTGGTTGTCTTTGCACAGAGAAGAAAGCTAGAGCCTAATAAAATTGATGATTAATATACTGTTTTGTAGCAGGTGTTTTGATTTTGCTTTGTGTAGCTATCTCTGGCAGTCGATAAGTAAGCCTGTCAGTTATTGAATAAGATTAGTTGTTTCTCTTCATTCCAAATAGGAAACTAACTTCATGGGAAATGGATAGAAACTCTCTTAATAGAAAAGAGAGAGGGGGATGGGTTTTGTTGTATTTTGGGAGAAATAATTATGTTATTCATTATGGTTGCCTCAGTTTGTTGGTGGGTGTTCACATAAAGTGAATGACAACCAATAACAAATGCAAGCTATCTTGTAAGATCTTGTTTTTAATCATTAGTGTCTGATCCATCACCATGTCAAGTCAAGTTTCCGATGGGGGGAAAAAGCAGGAAGTGGTGGTTAGAAAATGAGCTGACTGTCACGATCGTTCATCGACGAGACGGACCAAGGCTCAGCGTGATATGCGTACATGTTTATTTTTTCCGAATAAACACAATAACAAAACAACAAACGAAACGTGAAGTCCAAGGTACACAAAACAACCATAACTAACACGGAACAAGATCCCACAACCCACTAGTGCCAATAGGCTACCTAAGTATGGTCCCCAATCAGAGACAACGAGCGACAGCTGCCTCTGATTGGGAACCACACCGGCCAACATAGATCTAGACGATCTAGATCTAAACCTAGAAAATACAACATAGAACATACCACACAGAAAATACACACCCTGACTCAACAAATACGAGTCCCCAGAGTCAGGGCGTGACACTGACAGTGAGTTGGCAAAAATACATTGTCTCTATCGTGTTTAGCAATATCACATCTCTGACAATGGAGTATGTCCTGGAATAGGCATTCACCAGTATTAATAGGGTTCACCTGTCTGTTTCATGGTTTAAGTGATGTTTCTATTTTATTTTACTCTTATGAAGATCACGTGTGCAGCGTTGACACTGAACTGTCATACAATTCTACACCAGTAGATGGTGCAACATTTTCAACATAATTTACTCAATGTAGAATCAACCATTTTGTGGTTCTCTAGCATGCATTTAACACAATCAGCTACAATTAAAAGTAATCCAACTTTCCACTGTGCCGCAAACGGTGCCATGCTCACTGCTCATGTGTTATACCGTTAAGCATGTATCGGTCTTTCTCACTCTCCTTGTCTCCCTTCTTTTCTCTCTCTTTTCCTCTCCTCTTTTGATATGCTCGTCCACATCCTTCCCTCTGCCCCGCCTCTCTCTCTCATCACAGACACACTCAAATAAAAAAAATACCAATGATGTACATTTTAAAAATATAATAATTGGGCTATCCTGAATAAATAAAAGTGAATAAAAAATACTGTAGTTGGTTACTTTATTGATTTTCACTGCACATGTTCAGTAAAGGGAAACATATGGAGTTACAGATTTGTTACATGGACATGTATTACCACTTCATATAGACAGACATCTGTCCTTTAAAAAAAGACATGTTATGGTGAGGCATTAATGAGCATGATACCAGTACAATCTCCTCTTCAATCGAGTTTGGTAAGCTGATTTCCAATAAAACACAACAAACTGGTTTAAATCTTTCTCTTGCTCTGGAGGAGATCTGCCTTGAAGTGGCCACACTGAGTAATGTAGAATGAGCATACTGTTACCTATTTAATAGAGGATAATGATAATCACCAGCATGCGATATATCCACTGTTTATGTCCACGTCAAAGGCAGGGACTCCTGGCTATGAAGGTGGTCATTAAATAAAGTGCTCCAGAAAAGAGACACAAGCTCCCATATCAGTGCTGCCCCTTGGAAATCCATGAAAGGCCAAATACAATCAACTTTGCACAGGCACGATTCATTGACCGTTTTTAACAATACCCACTGACAGTAGGCCATCTGTCTTGGTAAAATAGCTTTTCTCTGCAGTGAGCGAGACAGGTTCAGTTGCCTAATTAGTGTTGGCTAGTGTATGAGTGGCTTCTGTTCACTGTTTTACAGAGACACACAAGCTTCATGCTCAAAATACAATGAAACAGATAAGCAACAGTAAATACTGGAGTATAGGGAATGAGATTGAAGTGAGTGATTGGTAAACAAGAGTTGTGTGTGTGAGCGCGCACCTACATGCCTGTGTGTATTTGTGACATATATAAGAATGTGTGTGAGTTTGAGAAAGAGATTTGGGAAACCAATTACTCAAAGTGCTATGTGATTGAGAAGCGGCAGGCAGCGGATGAGGCGGCTCAACACAGCTTATGTTTGGCACAGTAAATAGCCCGCATCAGTGCAATGCCGCAAGCAGATCCTCCTGAGACCTCGAGACAAACTTACAGCCACCCCCAGAGAGAGAGATGGGACCTGTAGAACTATGGCTAAAACCATTCGATGAACAACATTATATAGCCTGTTTTCTACCAATATTTACAGGCGAGAGTGGTTTGTTGCCATTTCAAAAATTTCCACAAGGGCTAATTCAATTGCAAAGCTCAGTGGCACAGTTCAAAACACAGTAGTGGTTGTAAGGTGGTACTTTAGCACTGCGATACTACAATCAATAAATGGGGACAATAGACTTCCATTTTGTTGCAACTACATTCATATTACTATGTTACATTCAACATTTGCTTAGAGTAAACCACTCCCTCCAAGCAAACATTCTCTGCCTCCAATAAAGCACATACTATTATTATTTGAGGTCAGGTGCTAAAATAAAAAAAAATTATATTGCTTAAAGAGGAATGTTGTTCCATATCTTCAAAAAATGTCAATCATTAATTTCAGTCTTTCTCCCCAGAGTATGGTGGCTGCTCAAAGTGTTCTACTTCACAAAAGGATCCTATCAAATTATGTCATGCCTTTTGTCACAGCATACAGATACAAGTATGAAAATAACCCCTTTGAGTATTATGCACTGGATTTTCCCCTTGGGAATAGGTTAGTTAAAGCAGTCAATGAGTAACGTCATTGTATAACCACAGTATAGTCCAGACAGGACATATTAATTAATAAAAAATAGTTCCCTCGTTATGTCGAGATCCAAGACATTTATCTCATAACAAAAGTTGATTTGTCGAGATCACAAGATAATCAGAAGTACCACGCATCACGCAGTATGAAAATGTATGCACTCACTAAAAAACTGTAAGTCGCTCTGGATAAGAGCGTCTGCTAAATGACTAAAATTTAAAAAAATGTAATCATCCATTAATTTGTTCAGATACAGTCTCCCAGGCTGTCCACTGCCCCCAAGACCACAGTAAATCGCATGCAAGGAACAACGCAGCTAACCAGGCTAGTCTTGTGAGCTATCTAGTTAGCTAGGTAGTCTTGTTAGCTATCTAGCTAGCAAGCTAGCTAGCTTGTTATCTATGCTAGTGGTTAGCTTGCATAACTGATTTGTGTATAAATTATAAGTGACACCATTTACAGTATTTGAGCTCCATTTCTGACAGGCTGATCAGATTCAATTTCAGCCTCAGAGGCTGATAAGTCAGGATGCTGCCTTGTAGGTTGTTTTATAGGTTAGGCTCCTTGCAGGCAGATTAGCTGTCAAAGTGCTTCATAGGCAGATGCACATCTGATCCAGGGGGTGAGCTCTATTCCTGACAGGCTGATCAGATTCAATAGCAGCCTCAGAGGCTGATGTCAGGAGCCTTTAAGCAATAGAGTGCACCCATTTATTGATCATATACATAATGCACTGACTGCTAATCTGCCTGCAAGGAGAGTTACCTATGAAACAACCTACAAGGTGGAATCCTTATTTATCAGCCTCTGAGACTGCTATTGAATCTGATCAAGCTCTGAGGATAAAATGTAATCTTATCAGCCTGTCAGGAATTGAGCTCACCCACTCTGTACATTTTAATAGTATCCATAAAACATGAGGTGCCCCTTACAATTATACACATATCAGTTATGCAAGCTAACAACCAGCATATATACAAGCTAGCTAGCTAACAAGACTACCTAGCTAACTAGCTAGCTAGCTTGCGCACTCACAAGACTAGCCAAGTTAGCTGCATTGTTGCTTGCATGCGATTGGCTGTGGTCTTGGGGGTGGCATTCAGCCTGGGAGACAGGTTTGCCTGTCAGGCATCTTTCAGGGCTCAAATGCCCCACAAAGGCTTAGATGCCCCAAGAGCTCTTAGCTCAAGGTAAGGGACATTTAGCTTGCTAACATTCTAATTTATAAACTGACAATGAGCGACAAACACAAATGAAAGGATGATGTTTAGCATGAAATGTACCATCCCTTAGCGTAGCAATCAATAAAAACATATGCGTTGATCCACCGTGGGCTTTACTGCCTCAGCCATACTGTCAATCTATCATCAATGCGTCTACTCCTATTTATAGAGTTAATTTCGTGATCTCGACAAAACAACTTTTGCTATGTCGCGACCATGAGAACAGTCTCGTGATCTTTACTAAACAACTTTTGCTATGTCGTGATCATGAGATAAAAAGTTGTGATCTCGATATAACGAGGAAATATTTTTTCCTCTCTGGACTTCCGTACAGTATAAAACCTTGAACCATCAAGAATAACTTTCATATACATAGGCAGCAATGGTGGAAATCAGCATTTGCGGAGCAATAAAATACTTAACACACGGTACTCATATAATCACAAACGTTTTCTTGTATAGCAAGCTACAAAATGCAACTCTACATGTCATCTACTCATTTCTAATTTGGCCTCACCTGCCACTGAATGATGTTTACTTTACTTACTGTATGTTTATTGAAAATGAAGTAGCTTAATATGAATGTCTGATACTATCCACTAAAACGATGCAAAAACTGCCTTTACTGCAGAGGACTTGCCCAGACACAGTGATGTTCGAGGATGAGCTCACACTCTTCTATCTAATTCCTGTCAAAAAGATGACTTCTTGTCAAAATGATGACACTTCCTCCCAGCATCAAAGTAAGGCTTGGCCACCTCATTCACAGAGCCAAGTCAACCCAATTGAGCAGTTTTGCTTCCACTACAAATTGTGCTTAGGGGATATGTCCCAGAATTGTTAAGGCTTTTTTAAACACTCAATACCAGACATTTTCTAAATACTAGACTATACTTATGACTTTCAACAGGATGTCTGGATGTTAGAGCAGTATTCAAGCTTCAAATATTCACAAGGTAGCACAATCATGTTTCAAAATAAGTTGAGAAACCATAAAGAGAAATTGGCCTGGTATTGTATTTAACCCAACTCATGAGATGTCATCTCTTGGGTGGAACAGGCAAGGTTCGCAAAGCACATCTTGTGGTTTGAATCTGTATTTAAAATTCAGAATAAGACATGATAATATAGTTTGTCTTTCCATACAACCCATATTGATGTTAATATATTAATGAAGTTTAAATGTTAGGTATTTAAAATTTGTTATAGGTATTGTTTTTGTTTAAACAGTTCAGTATTAGTTAGTATTGTAGGCCCATTTATCATTAAAAAATAAATGGCTTCATTTATTTTCAGGCATTTTCTGAACAATGTAAATAAAATAAATAAATAAAACACTTTTTATGAAAACAGTCTCTGTGGGCAACACTGATCGCATTACCCAACCATTAATATCAATGCTCTGCGAACCTAACCTGGGTATGGTGGCCCCTCCTCTCCTGTCTGTCAAAGAGAGGGCCTTAGAGGCTAAGGGGTTAGCTTTAGCATTTGCAATGGTTACAGGAGCCAGAGGGTGGCTGCAGCAAGCAGGAGGGAGGGCCCCAGGGTGGAGGCCAGGGAGGCAGGCAGAGGCCCACTGTTGATCACCAGCCTGTAGGAGACCACCTCCACCTTGTAGCCGTTCTCCGTGGCCATGCAGCGGAATACCCCCTGCTTAAGGGGCAGGTCAGGGGTGGGTGCCAGCACACAGGAGTCTCCAGTGATGAAGCAGGGGTAGTGCTGGATACAGTTGTCCTTCTCCCAGCGGTAGGTGGCGTGAAAGGAGCGCACGGGGCAGGGGAGGTTGACGGGGCCGTCCGAGTCAATCAACACCTGTTTGGGGTTTGTCCTGTGGGTCTTCAGTGCTGTGGGGGTTCAGAGGGCACAACCTGGTTGACAATGATCTCACCCAAATTAAATACTTACTTATGGGCTCCCTAGACTAGAGAGTAGGCTATGGTTTCATAAGTATGGATTGTTTATGTATCTACAGTAACAATCATTGATGAGTTCAAAATGGGAATGACAGGACAGGATTGGCAGGACAACTTCATTATGTGAGAAATGTGTGGGTGAGAGGCCACACTCATGTTTGTGAAAAAATATACAGGTTATTGTAAATGATAACTTTCCTGTCAGTTACTAGGACAATTGTGACTCAATGCCCAGTAAACCTAAAACCAGACTAACGTGTACAAGCTGACACAGAGATACATTAAATAGTGTTTTATTTAATTATGTGGCCTGATACTTCCTCTGGAAGAATATCTGCTAAAATGACAGATTAAAATATAATATCTTTAGATATGATATTGCATCATCTTTCATTCTCCACTCCCTAGGATTACAGTGGGGGAAAAAAGTATTTAGTCAGCCACTAATTGTGCAAGTTCTCCCACTTAAAAAGATGAGAGAGGCCTGTAATTTTCATCATAGGTACACGTCATCTATGACAGACAAATTGAGGAAAAAAAATCCAGAAAATCACATTGTAGGATTTTTTATGAATTTATTTGCAAATTATGGTGGAAAATAAGTATTTGGTCACCTACAAACAAGCAAGATTTCTGGCTCTCACAGACCTGTAACTTCTTCTTTAAGAGGCTCCTCTGTCTTCCACTCGTTACCTGTATTAATGGCACCTGTTTGAACTTGTTATCAGTATAAAAGACACCTGTCCACAACCTCAAACAGTCACACTCCAAATTCCACTATGGCCAAGACCAAAGAGCTGTCAAAGGACACCAGAAACAAAATTGTAGACCTGCACCAGGCTGGGAAGACTGAATCTGCAATAGGTAAGCAGCTTGGTTTGAAGAAATCAACTGTGGGAGCAATTATTAGGAACTGGAAGACATACAAGACCACTGATTATCCCCCTCGATCTGGGGCTCCACGAAAGATCTCACCCCGTGGGGTCAAAATGATCACAAGAACGGTGAGCAAAAATCCCAGAACCACACGGGGGGACCTAGTGAATGACCTGCAGAGAGCTGGGACCAAAGTAACAAAGCCTACCATCAGTAACACACTACGCCGCCAGGGACTCAAATCCTGCAGTGCCAGACGTGTCCCCCTGCTTAAGCCAGTACATGTCCAGGCCCATCTGAAGTTTGTTAGAGTGCATTTGGATGATCCAGAAGAGGATTGGGAGAATGTCATATGGTCAGATGAAACCAAAATAGAACTTTTTGGTAAAAACTCAACTTGTCGTGTTTGGAGGACAAAGAATGCTGAGTTGTATCCAAAGAACACCATACCTACTGTGAAGCATGGGGGTGGAAACATCATGCTTTGGGGCTGTTTTTCTGCAAAGGGACCAGGACGACTGATCCGTGTAAAGGAAATAATGAATGGGGCCATGTATCGTGAGATTTTGAGTGAAAACCTCCTTCCATCAGCAAGGGCATTGAAGATGAAACGTGGCTGGGTCTTTCAGCATGACAATGTTCCCAAACACACCGCCCGGACAATGAAGGAGTGGCTTCGTAAGAAGCATTTCAAGGTCCTGGAGTGGCCTAGCCAGTCTCCAGATCTCAACCCCATAGAAAATCTTTGGAGGGAGTTGAAAGTCCGTGTTGCCCAGCGACAGCCCCAAAACATCACTGCTCTAGAGGAGATCTGCATGGAGGAATGGGCCAAAATACCAGCAACAGTGTGTGAAAACCTTGTGAAGACTTACAGAAAACGTTTGACCTGTGTCATTGCCAACAAAGGGTATATAACAAAGTATTGAGAAACTTTTGTTATTGACCAAATGCTTATTTTCCACCATAATTTGCAAATAAATTCATTAAAAATCCTACAATGTGATTTTCTGGATTTTTTTCCCTCATTTTGTCTGTCATAGTTGACGTTTACCTATGATGAAAATTACAGGCCTCTCTCATCTTTTTAAGTGGGAGAACTTGCACAATTGGTGGCTGACTAAATACTTTTTTTCCCCACTGTAAATCTCAATGTTCCAGGAATGGAAGAGCAGAAACAGTCAAGGGATATGCATAACAGCTGCACTGAGACTGCGACCAAGAGAAGTAATGGAAAAAAGAGATAGCTAACAAAGACAGTGCATATCCCATGAGCGGGGAGAATTTGTTAGGATTATTAGAGGTTAATATGGCTGAAGCTATTGGGCTTTGAAGTGAGGGCAAACTTTGATATTAAACCGCCCAATGGGTTTGAGCCTCCGCTCAATTATATGATATCATCTTCTGAGTTAGGCTGTGGAAAAAAGTTCCTTTCAGCTAATGAAGATACAGAGGGAGAGTCAGAGAGGAGGCGGAGTGGCACTCACCAGCAGCTTCACCACAGATAGAGGCATTGGAATGGTCCAGACTCTGAGTGAGTGCCCTATGGTATGAAACAAATAATTGAAGGAACATCAAATTACCATGTACCATTTTGAACTATCAACCATTTTATGTAAATTAACCAATTATCATAAAACCTAGAATAGTAATTGGAACCTCGACACTCCTCTGTGAGAGATGATATGTTATGGCTGGTATTGACTGTCATTTTTGGTACTCTGCATGTTTTCCATAGGTATCTAAACTGTATTCAAGAAGTGACATCATCACATCTCATACCCAGTACTGATGTTGTATCCAGCTGGGATGGGTGTGCACCTCCTCCTGGCTGCGTCCCAACCACAATACGGATCCCGAGACAGAATGCACTCCCGGCAACTGTCTCCATAGCGACCGCAGTCAGCCAATGGTATGCGCTGGACCTCCATTGCCGTGCCCACATAAAGGTGGCCCTGGTAGAGAAGGCAGGGAGTAATACATGAGAGACAGGAAGAGACATACAGTGGTTATCACTAGAAGTGCATTGTTGAAATGGATTGGACTGCAGCTACATCGTAAACAAATTCATCTACGGATATTAGTGCTAGCTGCTAAGGAGTGTTCGCTGATGGTCTCACAGTACCTTCTTAGAGTCAATGGCCATGCTTAGAACAGGACCCTCGTTGTGGAAGAGGGAGTACTGGGATATGATAAAGGCATCCTCGATAGTGTGCAGAACCTTGAGCACTTTCCCCTGTTCTATCACCAGAAAGAGAGAGAGAACATTACCAGAGAAGAGAGAGACACCATGGTCGCACCCTATTCTTTTTCATGTACCCCAGAAACCCAGTACCATTTTGGATTGAATATGGCCCCAGGTTTATAATAGCACAGGCTGCCTTTTTTCTCTACTGGTCAATTCATCAGTGGGTGACTTACAGAGAAGAGCAGGCCTGTCCTACAGCTTGTCCTCTCTTATCTCCTCCCCAGATTGAGAGGCTATTACTTCCCACAGAAGACTAACTGCTCTAGTTTCTTATTAGGCCACCTCAGAGACCCATGGCTCTGTTCACAGCTCTATCACTACTTTCCCTGTGGTAGTGACTGTCTTCTTTATCAGAGCACGTTGATTAGGCTGTAGCCATTTAGCTGGGATTCATGCCAAAAATGCACTCTTATATTAAGCCCCAACTCATGCCTGCGTTGAGCAAACAACTTTTTAATTTACTTTGTCAAGGAGACTATGTCTTCTAAAAATAACTTTTAAATAGGTTACACCAAACGTCTGTACATGAGATACAGCTTGACAGCAAAAAAACAAAACACACACACACACACCTGTTCCCAGGTACAGCACACTATAGTGCTCGTCGTTGACCGCCAGCACCATGGCAGCGACAGTGTGTGTGAAGTGATCGTCGGTAGGCAGGTTCAGTGGAGCCCCCCCGACCGGACGAATCACGTCCTCGATCTCCGGGTGGTCCCTGATCACCCCCAGGGTCTTAGGGTTGTGGGCTGCCGTGGAGTTCTTGAAGGCACACTGGGACAGGATGTGATGTAATGAAAGTGATGTAATCAGGAAGGAGACACAGACTTAGACTGTGGCTTTGCCTTGCACAATAATTTCACAATCAGTGTCTGTCATCTGCAACTGTTCCAAAATAGAAACACAAGTCTTCCACTTCCCCAAAATTGACGGACTCACATACATGAGCTTATGCAATTGGCCTTTGCAAAATGACTTTGATTGGCACTACAAAAAGTTAATTAAAAGAAAGTTACTTTAACTGATTCAGTGGGTGTCTTACTGTGCCAGGGCGATGTCCAATCAGAGGACTGCTGTAGCCCTTCAGTTTGGACGTGGCGAAGGCCTGGTCAATGTCCTCGATGGAGTAAGCACATATCACTGTCGTGTCCCTGGTCAACCAAACAATACAACACTTAATAGGCATACAAGCCTTCCTTCCTTCTTCTTACTTTATTCAAACGTGAATCAGAATGTTGTTAGCAACTCAATCACAGACTGATAGCTGAGTAGAATCATATTACTATGACTCTCTAAAAGGACTTAAGAGGATTTAAGGCTGCTTAAATATGTTAATAAAAGCACTCAAGCTCAAAAGTAATTGGCCACCTCCACAGAGCATAGCCCACTTCAAATAGAATCATCGTTTTGTTTATCCCATATGTAACTCTGTGTTGTTGTTGTTTTTATCGCACTGCTTTGCTTTATCTTGGCCAGGTCGCAGTTGTAAATGAGAACTTGTTCTCAACTGGCTTACCTGGTTAAATAAAGGTGAAATAAAAAAATTAAAAATACATGTATTTTCCTCAATGAAACATAGAACTTGCTGCTCCCAAGTTTTCATTGCTATACACTTCTATCCAGCTCCTGTGCCCCATTTGGATGTGCTGTGCACAATTCCTACTTTCCTCTGATTATGTTGTCTGTGCTGCTCATTCCTCTCCTGCATTTTAAGCATGACACAGTCTTAAGCAGCCATATGGGTTGGAGGGTGTTGGAGGTGTAAGGTGTCTACTCACCAGGCGTTGGCAAACAGGCCGTACATGACCCCGGTCCTCTTCTCGTGGGCCACGTCAGACAGCACAAATGCCTGTCTGATGTTGTTGTACTGCTGGGGGGTGCTACCCGCACCACACATCACCCTGGCCTTCAGGAAGGTAGTCCACGAGTCCGCCAGCAGGTTCTTTATGCCCCCCTCGTCGACCTGGAGACGGACACACAGTATACAACAGTACACCATAACATTAAAGCTGGAATCCTTAGCGGTGAAACTGCCAGGTTCGTTTGCGATATTACAACAGCAAAGACGTTACTTCAAAAAACAAACCCTGTTTTTTTCCCCTCTGACGTCATTGCACGTGCGATAGAACAGAAGTGTATGTACTCTTGTCACGAGAATTTCTCTCTCTCTCTCTAATCAAACTTAATGCTCTGAATAATTCCCAGAGGGTGTAAGGCTCTGGTTTAACCATGAATTAAGGTCCACAACCGGCACAACCGGCAAGAATGATCTGTATGTTTAATCATGGAGACCTCTGCCGCCAAAAAACACATATACAGCTTTTATACCACTTCACACAAAGGCACTTTGCTCCGCCCACCTTTAGGCAGCCTTTAACCAGTTTCTCAGTCCCCTTCATCCTGGAATGTTTGTCTCAGCAGTTTCTAACTCACCCCCTCTGTTAGTGGGTTTATAATGATAACCCTAACACAGTTCACACAGTCATCATCAGTATTGGGGTTAACAATTTTAGTCATATTCATAATCCCTCTATCAATCCACCCTTTGACTAAATTTTCACACCCTTAGGATAAATGTATTTACAAGCATGATCAATCTGATCTTCATATGTCAGAACTAATAAACGTTTCATCCAATTGCGGTCTTTCAGGGTCAAAGTCCTCGTCATCCACCAAGCCTGGAGGATCGTTTTTCACATTCCATCGGTTGAGACACTGCAATCTCCAACACCTTACTCACCAACCCTCGGACACAGGGAACAAGACAACAACCACATAATACAAGAATACCCATATAAACGCTGGCTGCCCCCAAGATGGTGGCTGCTATGGTTTTCCATTTACCAAACATTTAATCAAACCACCCTATCCAAGATGTACTAACTCCTGAGTTCTAAGCCCATTCTTCACTTAGAGCAGTTAATTCTGCAAGAGCTCTGCTGACCGTCCCATCCGGTGTGGTGTTGTTAGGGATAAATGTGCAACAATGGCTTACCATTCTATAGACACTGCCCCTTTCTGCCTGATCTAGAGCCAACCTCTTTTCCTAAGTCATGAGTGAGATGGCGGATAATTGTTCAGAGATCCCTTTTACTGCATCCCTAGTCTGGCCAATAAATCGTTGTTGGTCGTAATAGATATAATTAATCCAATCCACAATTTTGTTTATTGTCACCCACCAAAATAACGTGGTAGTAAACCCTTCCCCTAATTGTTTCATAGCTTGGTATCCATCCGATACCCCCCTTGGTATCCCAATCGCATCCATCTAAATAGGGCTATTCTCCTTCTTGTTAAAACTCCTCCTACGTCTGTTTAACCCTTTCCTTGGTTCCTGGTGACTAATTATAACTAGCTGAATCAGTAGAACCAGGGCGCACGTACCTAGCCACCCTTTTGGTATTCTCCGCCTTATACTGCCTTTACTGGCACACGCCCACCACACATCGGTTACAGGGGCTGTAAGGTTTAGAATTCTCTCCTGTGCTTCCGAACTTAAGTCAGTCACATTACTACTATCTCCAATTGATAATTGCTGATGTCTTTGTTTCTCTTTACCCCCCCATCTGGATGTCCAGTCCCCCCCCCCCGGTCTCATATCCCCGTCCCCAAGTGTGTTTAAACACTTGAGTCTAGGAACAATCCGCCGTGGGGGCCGAACACGAATATAATGGGATTTTCTTATTGACATGTACCCCACCCGTTGGCTACGTCCCTAACCCTTATTTTGAATCCTACAGTCTGCCCTTCTCTGACTCCCATTTTGTAGGCCACTCGTCCTTGACGGTCAGTATGTCGGGTCGCTTCTCTTCTCTTTTACTTCTTAACAATGGTAAGGGCATAGCGTAATTGGTGCTGGATCTTGACATATCAAGACCATTGCCGAGACTATGATGCAGCTCAAGTCACCCATATTCCCAAAAACCGCCAACCCTCTCCTGTCCTCAGTCTTTCTGCTTGGTACTACCCCATACTCACACCCTGAGAACACACTACAGTGATGATAGGTCGGGGTAGGAGATCTTCGTTAACAGAGGTGATCCCCAGATCCTATTGGTCCAGTTCTTCTCTCTAACTCTGCGTGTGTTCAGTGGTGCTTGTATGTGTTCTTACCTTTTTGCAGTGGGTAACGTGGACCCAGGTTGCTCTTTCTGCTATTCTAATGGCAAAGGCAGTGACCAATATAACCTGATAGGGCCCTTCCCAACAGGCCTGCTTCCAGTCTTTCTTATTTAGGGACTGGATGCTCACCAGTCACCTGGTTAGATAGAGTGGGTCACCTTCTCCTTTAGTTCACCTGTGGGGCACAAAACCTCTGACATACGGGTGTGGTTAATAAACTACCTTCTCACGTGTTCTGCTAGGGTGCTCTCAATTTCTATTTCTGACTGCTCCAGTCCTCCTAACTCGGGCATTCTGTATGGTCTACCAAATCCCTTCTCCAATGGCAATAACCCTTCTTTATCTGGAGTTCTCCTGATCGTCATTAATACTATCGGTAGACCTTGTACCCCATTTCTTCCTGCTCTCCTGTGTGTTTTCCTTAACCCCTCTCTAATCATACAATTCACATCAGTATTCTCTTTCTAGACTGTATCTAAAAAAATGTTTTTTAAAGTATTTTGTCCCATCCTTCGTATATTTATTCTTTAATCCTACCATCTACTATCATCCCCCCTCTTGACACAAATCTCTGCCCATGTGTCAATATTACCACCTACCTAAACAATCACTTAGGTAATATTGGTAATTTATCATCCAATTGCCATCCCTTATTTATTTTTGAGACTGTTCCTTCTTTATTGCTTCTCCCACTTCCTTCGTCTATTATGGCGGCTAAATTCGACTTTCATTCAGTTCAGAATCAATACATTTACATTTACATTTACGTCATTTAGCAGACGCTCTTATCCAGAGCGACTTACAAATTGGCAATAGTAATCCGATCAATAAATCCCTTATCTTGTAAAAACACTCATGTTTAGTTCAAACTCTGTTCTACCCCGGCTCTCCCGGCCTTGACCTGAAGACTGATGGTTGGACATGACAGGTCCATACTTAAATCTTTTAAACCTAACACAAACCCCCCTTCATGCTGTAATCAATCAAGAAGATAGCAAAGGAGAGACAAAGGTTTTGCCTGAACTCTGCTAAACCCTGGCAGCTTTTTCCTCTCTGTTTGAGGAGAGAAGCAAAAGGCTCCCTTCTGCTTTCATTCACTGATAACGTAGGACAGCCGTAGGACAGCCATGGATTCCCACTTCACTTACACACCTCTAAAACATTTAATCCAACCCATAACACATTAATTACTACTGCTCATTATCTTGCTACAATCTGCAAATATACCAATAAATTCTCTTACCATCATCCTAAATATTTCATAAATGTTACTTATCCCAAGTGTTCATTAAGTCCTCATGACATTTATTCTCATAAGAAATCATGTATACCCTAAACTCAGTCAAAACCGAAAAACTCCATAAAATTCACTGTGTGTGCTCCTTTAAGACTTATCACCTTTGAACTGTTGAAAACCCCCTAAAATCAAAATAACAACCCTTTATAAACATCATACTAGGTGTGTTGTTTTTTTATTTGATAAACCCAATTGAAAAACAACAACCAAAAATAGCCAGGCCCCACTTAATTTGGTAGCTCACTTTTACGGCCTAAATACTGCCTAACTCCACTAAACTGCTCCCCCTAGCCCTGGGCAACATTCCAATGAGATAAGCTAATCTCTTTCTCCTGGAAGAGGATTTATACATTTTGTTAACCTTCAATTACCACCAGTAATCTAAAGATGGTAAGTACACACAACATATGATACAGATTTCCCCAGTCCTAACTCATCAATAATCATTTGTATCAATCTAATTCCTCATAACTAATCCATAAAACCACTCAAAATTCCTCGAGTATACAATGATTATGTTTAATTGATTACCCTTCAGATCATATCCTCTTTAAATCTCACAATGATTATTGAACCCCTAAATCTGCTCCATGTGATCTCATCTCAAATGATCCATTATCAATTATTTGATCAACATCATAGGAAAATCTGTCTCCCCTTCTATTGTTCCCGTCGCCACTGTAAATTTCATATTTCATTCATTAGCCAATACAATCACATACTCTGTGTAAGTAAGACATTATATTTTATCCCAGGCATCACCTTAACATAATGCTATAGGAGACTTCCATCAATCCTGGAAGACACTATATAATACCACGTTTCATTAAGTTCACTACACCTTCTAATATAAACCTATAACCCCTTTCTATTAATTTAATAATCGCAACCTGTTGCATTTATGTTTTTAAAATAAAAACCTATTGTTTAATAACTTCATACTTATAACCAATGTTTATTCAATTCATCATCCTAATAGTCACAACTATATCCCATTGTTCAACGTACTATAAACAGATTATCGTTTTAGAAATCACCAATTATTTTCATACACCACTGGTGTTACCCAACCTATACAATAAAGTAATAACCATTAGAATTTGTCAAAGAAATGCTTTTCATTCAACTATTCAAACTTCTGCTCGATACAGTCAAGCAAGTACAACTCTTTTACCCGCGAACTAGAACCATAAATTATTTTCCTATCATTTGAACTATGTACTGTCTCTCACCCCTCCCCCCACGGGGGAGGCGCGGGGACCTGCCCTAATCAGCTTCCTTCTTACAAAATCATGTCATTAGTACTTGTAACCACAACCCATTATTACTTAATAACATATTTTCATAGACCTTTCTAGAATATTCATCTACTTAAGCTATCTTATTCAACCTTTCACATTTCTCAATCCACCTAGTAATCTAGGTCCATAGCCCCAATGCGAAAGCTTTACCCACTGTCCCTACCTGGGTTCGAACCAGGGACCCTCTACATACATTGTCAGTCACTCCACAAAATCCGCAATCCTTTCAAAGCACGCCAAACAACCACTTCCATGTCGCACAGCCAGCCACATCATCACTCCCAACTAGCCAGCCCTTTCATCCCAAACACTAAATCCCCTAGTAGCAAAAATAAAACACACTCTCAAACAGCGTTCTGCATTTACCTCTATCATCGGGTTTAAAAACTAACGTAACAACATTAACCATCCTCTATTGCTGTAGTAACGTCATGTTTGGTTCAGTTTATTTATTACGATGGTATGTCCATAATACTTCTCTATTCTCAGTAGTTTTTAACTCTCACCTCATTCGGCAACACAAAAACTCTCTCCCCGCACCTATTCCTGTTGAATAAGTGAGCCTTTCTATTTAACCCAAACCACGCTACAAATCTTCCATTCAACATCACCAAACCAAATACTCAGTAGTATCCGGTTACCACCCATACCAGCCGTTGAATTACACTCATAAATACAGATTTCACCTTATGCCATTGAAATGACAAATAAACCATAATAGTTGAACTATATTGGCTTTCTACTATATTATACATTACGTCTATAAGCACATTAGTTATGGTCCGATTACCCATTAAACCTTATCACATGATCCAACAACGGTACAACCTTAAACTCATATTCTCTACTTTCTCATCCATGACGTACGTCTACGTTTGGGTGAGCAAGTTCATACGTATATATCGTTAGAAATTTATTGATACCTCCCAAATAATCCCTTTGTGGTGTTTTTAGCCAATTCTTAATCGACACAAATCACTTCTTCAAACTTTTTACCCGTGGAACCAAAAAAATAGACTGTCATTTCCCGGACACTGCCCTTTCCTTTATCTCTGCAGTCGCGATGGTTATGACCTGTTTTGTTACAGTATTTACACGGGGCCCCACACTCTCTTGCAAAATGACCTTCCTTGTTACAGTTAAAGCACTTCCTCTTATCTCCTCCCCTATTCTGCCTCCCTGACTTATTATAGCTCTCTAATCTCTTCAACTCTCTGTGTTTATAACCTTTCTGCCCTCTGCTCTGGGGGAGGCACTGAAACTTCAACTTTTACTTCATTTTCTCTCTGCATAACTCCCTTTTTCCTTCTCTGTCCTTCCTCTCTCTTTCGAGCCTCCAAAAGCCATACTCTTGCTGTCTCTAGCCCCTCCCGTCGCTGTTTCTTCAAATCCGTTCCACAGTTTACATGCATCTGTCTAATCATAGCCTCTAATTTCTCTACATCAAGATGCCCAATAAATCCATACCTCTTCTCCCAAATGGATCCATAATAAATATTCCTTTGATCTCTTCCTAACATATATCTTATCTTCCTCCGTTAATCCTTAGACCTCTTTAGAATATTTATTTCCCATGGTAGAAAAATAAGAAATCCCCCCGTTTCTCTTATCAGTTAGTAATAATTCAATCAATAATTATTTTCTTTGGGACTTATTATTAGGTGCGACTTTTGAGCAAATGTTATGATCTGCTTTTGTAATCAACAATTTAAATTATTCAACCCGTAACCCAGAGTGTTTTAAGACCCCAGTTTCATGAAACAGATGGGACAACCATTTTTTCTCACGCGACCTATTTTAGTCCCTTCCTTGAAACAATTATCGCGTATTTCGATGGATCATTAGGTCTCACACGTATACAACCTTGTATGATTTTTTGCTAACACTATCCGTAACCCAGAGGTCGTAAAGCTCTAGTTTCATGAAACAGACAGAGTTAGAGCAAATCCCCAGTTGTTTATGACTCTTGACTTGACTCTCGAAATGTATCTATCTCACACAATGATAATTATCTCCCTTCCTGTTTATATTATAAACACTGTACCCAGTACAATCTCAATATTAACTAGTTTATTTTGGTAATGGCCTATTACCTTGAGTCATTTCAGACCCCCATCCTTCCTTTAAGTTACTGTGCTTTACCACTCTAGAATATGGCAAGTCTTATGAGATTTTGGTAATTATTCTCTGCCCTTCACAATAATTACTATTCTTATACAAGTTCAAATCATTTCACCAAAATCCATGAATAAAAATTACTGACCTCCTCCTTGCAGTTGGGATTTAAATGCTTTTTCAGATCTCGTCAACGTCTTTATCATTCATAAGGTTCATCACCGGCCTGTTTATAACCTTAACGTCAAAGGCCAGGTCTATTCTATACGGATGTTATCATCCGCCCGTGCACGGTTCACACAGTCATCATCAGTATTGGGGTTAACAATTTTAGTCATAATCATAATCCCTCTATCAACTCTTGATTTTTTTTACCACGAGGCTGGATGCCCATCTCCTCCGTTTCAATTTGTATTTTAATAATAATAATAATGCGCCTGGGGTGACCAGTGGTGCTGTTTCACCTTTCGCAGAGCTCAGTTTTAATAGGCAATAACGCTGTAATACAGCTATTATAACATTTTTACATTTTAGTCATTTAGCAGACGCTCTTATCCAGAGCGACTTACAGTTAGTGAGTGCATACATTTTAATACTGGCCCCCCGTGGGAATCGAACCCACAACCCTGGCATTGCAAACGCCATGCTCTACCAACTGAGCTACATCCCTGCCGGCCATTCCCTCCCCTACCCTGGACGACGCTGGGCCAATTGTGCGCCGCCCCATGGGTCTCCCGGTCGCGGCCGGCTACGACAGAGCCTGGATTCGAACCAGGATCTCTAGTGGCACAGCTAGCACTGCGATGCAGTGCCTTAGACCACTGCGCCACTCGGGAGTTATAAGGTGATGTTGTTGTGGTTACCATGCAGATTCGTCCGATGCGCGACCTGTAGGGCTCCTCGTCCACCATGGCCGTCTTGTTGAACTCACTGAAGAAGAAGTAGATCTCCTCCTTGTGTTTCTGAGAGGTTGGCATTACTGCTGCTCCACCAAACTGGGGACCTGCAGCAGGAGAGAGGAAGGACTGCCACCAGTGCTTGAAGTGGACTGAAATAGGTGCCGGTACTCATTTCTGGTGCCGTTACTCTTTATATTTACGTGCTGGTACTCATCACTATTTAACAGCCACTATTCTATAAGAGCTAATACTCAACCAGGCAGTAGAACATTTGAGCACCAGGCCAACTCAACCCCTTTTCAAACTCCTAATGCATATTGTATTTCTTTATTTTTTATAAAAGTGTTTGCATGGAAGTTTTATAGGCTAATAAAGACTTCCAGTACATAATACTGGGAGTTAGTCATACAATTTTTTATCACAACTGTGCATTTAACTTATGTTCTTTAAAATGGAAGAATTCATAGTGATTACATTTCTGCATGCAGCATGTTACAGTTACAATATATAAGATATAAGATAAAATAGAGTTGCTATTTCCATGCTCATCCACTCCAGTGCCTCATGCAGCTCTCCTACACCCATATAGTCCCATGTTGCTCTCATCCCACTCACTCTGCAGCCACTTGTTCTCAGTCTTCAGGAGTTTCTGAGTGCCATAGGTCCGGCGGATAGAGCCAGGGTGACGCCCCACTGCTGAAAGAGCAGAGTATAGATTCCCATCTGAGAGTGAGAGAGGGGGGGAGGTAAAGATAGAGAGAGAGTTAAAGAGGAGAGAGGGAGAGAGACAAACAGAAGGTAGAGGGAGAGATCAAAAAGAAATCAACAGAAGACAGCTGACTGCACCAATCAACATCCTCTCATAACCATATTACAATTACCCCACTTAGGGCACTGTCTCCATAGTGATAACGGAGGTTATTTGGAATCCTGACATGAATGGTTCAATGAGAACTGAACGTTATCAGAACGCTGCACCACTCTAGCAAATGGCTCATTGGTTCATCACTCCAGTCCAGCCTGGTCTGCGCTATCACAGAACCTGCTATACAAAGTAACCTTGTCATGATTCCGATAATACTGTGAGTTACAGCTTTGCTACTATTACATTTACATTTACCATTTACTATGGTACCATTTTAAACAGATCTCTTAACCCATACCAAAGCCAATGTTGCGGATCTGATTGGTCTGTATAGTTGTGAACATAATGGCTGGACGGAGCTCTCCCCACAATACTGATACTTATCCTATCCTGTCAGAGCCACAGGGAGGAGTTAACAAGGGTGTAGAAATAGGGGTGAGGGATCGGTTTGGTATTGTGCCAATAGCAGTGTTTCTACAATAGCAGTGTTTCTACAATAGCAGTGTTTCTATGGCTGTTTGGCTGGAGTGTCTGTCTGTCCTCGCATCATACCTGCAGACAGACTGACGGACCTCTGGGAGGGGTAGGGAGGGGAGATGTCAGAGGCTGGTGCCATCTGTCCATTGGTGGGGGCGTCAGTCAGCACAGTGTCATTTACCTATGGAGAGGAAATGACATCACAACCTCACAAGCCAGATCCTGAATGCTCTTACCTCCTTGTATACAGTACAAATAGACACAAACCTGGAGATATATGCTTTCAGTTTTTTATTGAACACTATTACCAACTTTTATTTAAGTGATACAGGAGTAAAGTAAGATGAAAGTGTGACCATTGTGAGAACACTAAACACATGTTGAAGACAATAGCTATTCTATTCATCATCATGTCATCTTACCAGCAGCCAGCATTTGGGGGTTCCTGCATTTGTCCCGCACACCACAAAAGTGTCATTGACTTTCTGAATGACTGTGATGAAATTGTCGCACTCCAACTGTAGTAGAGAGAGAGAGAGAGAGAGAGAGAGAGAGAGAGAGAGAGAGAGAGAGAGAGAGAGAGAGAGAGAGAGAGAGAGAGCATTCAGTTTCCAGAGAGGGAGGAGATATTGGAACTGATCCATTTTCCCTAATTTGGCAGATAGCACAAGATTTACCTCTGCAGTACTGAGGGAATGCATTGTCTGCATAACTCCATATGCATTGCATCACTTATTAATTAAGTACAGTAGCTGAACTTTTATCTCAAGAGAAACTTCCAGAGGAGTTTGTGCCTGAATACCAAATACAGCATCGTACCGTTCCACTGTCCCAAACTTTAACTTTTGGGACAGTTTCTACTGGGGATGATATCATGTTGATGTTATGTCTCTTTTTATTCATATTCTTACAGTAGCAACAAACCTACCTCACTGTGATGATAATGATAATGATGACGAAAATTGCTATTGATGATGGTGATGATGATGACGATGATGATGACGATGGTGGCGATGATGATTAATAAATAAGTCATTTAGCAGACGCTCTTATCCAGAGCGACTTACAGCAGCAATTAGGGTTAAGTGCCTTGCTCAAGTGATGATGATGATGATGATGATGATGATGATGATGATGATGATGATGATGATGATGATGATGATGATGATGATGATGATGATGGTGATGACCACCTACCTTTGGTGGGTCTGATTTGGCAATGCAAGCTGCCTTTGCGTTTTCATCAGTTACCACACGGATCTGTAATAATATAAGATACATTCCAGTATGTCATACAATTTATCCCTATCTCATATGCAAATGTTAGGCCTTTTCAAATATGCAATCGACTGCAATCAAATTCAATGCTGATGGAAAATGAAGTAAGTCAGGTCCTGTGCCATAAACTAACAAAGGGAGGATTACTTTACTGTCTCTAATATTTGATCAACATAGGGTAATTATAGGTAACAGACAATCAGAATAGTCACAACACACAAATGATAGGCTACCTTCTGCTCATGTTTGTCGAGTTAACGTTGACATTATTAGCTCAGTGTATCTTTATTGTATGTTGACCTCATAAGCCCACACTATATAATCACTTCCTTCCAATTGGACAGAGATGAGATCTGCTCTATAAATGTATGCATGAACCATCTCCTGCCATGGAGGCTGTTGAACTAGGTTGACAGCTGCTGCCTCCTCTTTAAGCCAGTCTCCTGTGCCTGCATTGGGTTACTGTGTCACCACCCCCAGAGTATCTCTGTTTGTCTCTATGGTCACCAGCAACTCACCTTCAGGTCGCGGACCCCCCTGTCAGTGAACGTCAGCACGTAGATCACTGTCTGGCCCCCCACGTACAGCACGTTGGTGCCCTCCTGGTGGTACACTGACATGTAGTTCTCCGGTTTCGAGAAGTGGTACCTGGCCGGCTCTGTGGGCCATATCAAAGTAGATTAGGAGAAGATGTTGTTACAATGTCTTTATATGATATACCAGTAGATCAGTGTTGTTGGGGGTTTCAAGTTGAGTCAATTGAACATGTAATTGCCCAATCATTTTCAGTTCATTAATTTGATTTAACAAGAATGTATTAATTGAGCTCTGTGGTGTGGTCATGTGATGGTCTGAAATAAAAAAAGAAGCCACCAGTCTACCTTTTGGCCCAAGTCATTTTAGTTTTACATGATATGAAGCTAAAGCTGTAGAGTTCAGAGAGAGAGAAAGAGAGAGTCTGTACTGAAATTGAATTGGTTGCCATGGTTAAGGACGATTTACCCATGGGACTCCTATTCCTACAGGCACATGCAAATCCGACACTCCAATTCAGTGGCAGACTGACGTTCTCGACGCTTCAGGAAAGTAGACCACTAGTTCCTTAATCGGCCGACAAAAGAGCCGGCAAATGGCGCTGTCCAAGGTGCTGAACTAGACTTCATTTTACATTTACATTTACGTCATTTAGCAGACGCTCTTATCCAGGCTTCAGTCACCAGTCATTTCAACCTCCAGGAACATAATGCTTTCATCGATTTTATCTTTCTGTTTTGACATGTCTGTCTCTATCGGGTACACTAGGACTGAATGTCGTTAATATGACATCCCTTTATAGGGTTGGTAGGCCTTTGTATAACATACGTTTGACTGATATGTCAAACACATAGGCCATGTTCTTGTCTGTATTTGACTGCTGATCTGCCAAGAGGAATACAGTCCTTTACACCTGTTGGTGCATCTTAACTTGATAGCCCTGTTTCTATTGATTGTGAATATATTAGACCACTGTGCAAGGTGTGAGGGCGTGAGTTTGAAAATATAATTGTTAGTTTGCTGCGCGGAATTTCCATAAATATTAATTGGGCTGTGTGGATGTGTGTGTGTGTGTGTGTGTGCGTGCGTGCACGCGTGCTTGTGTTCGCGTGTGTTAATGAGGCCCTGGAGCTAATGCTGCTGCTCTATGCTCAACAAGCCTCAGCTACTGCAGTACCATCTACCCGTCAGCTCGTGCACCTGCATTGCAGTTCTGCAGCGCTAGCTAAGTATTCACCATAATGATGGGTTTCAACAGTAATGTAGTGGTTTTGTAATAAGTTCATTGACATTGTATCCTTGAGTAAACTAAATGACATGATATCTAGAGCTCCTCATCACTCTTTTTAATTAGCACATATCATTTAGCCTTATATTCTGTCTTGAAGAGTGAAGGAGGTGCTGATCAGAAGGAATATCCGGACATTGATCACAAATAACAGCTGTCTGATTGGTAAACAACACCAGGACAGCGTTTCCATGACAACTAACTGGCAAACGTCTACCCACTGCCCTAGGTTGAACCTCACACGTGAGTTATCAATGACAGAAACGCCAAAACTTGCAAAACCGCGAGCCTATCAAAACACTTAAAGGACCAATGCAGCCGAATTTACTGCCTGGTGATGTCACCTAAAATTCCATCCCACCAAAACAGGGAGACATTTCAGGCGGTCTTTTTAAACAGGTCTTACACTAAAGGGGCATTATCAACCTTTTTTTACAATTTCACAGTATTATTCCAACCTCATAGTGTGGTAATATATATAAAACACAGGAAAAACACGTTTGACTGCACTGGGCCTTTAACATACAGCCTCTGCATTGGCATGCTGAGGTGTGCTCTGAATTCAAGATTAGATGTCTTCGTAGGAGTGGGTCACTATTGTATAGGACAGGCTAGCCGAATAATCAACACCTAAATAGTAATAATAGGCTATCTTAATTAAGCCAGCTTCTTGCAAAACACAATTGGTTCTGAATAATTCCACCGTTCCCGATGCCATAAACCTGTTCCAAACGTATGAACACTTCTGTCCCTTACATTTCATTACAATGGAATAGGCCAATGGGCCTAAATTAGCCTACATGAAGATTAATATAATCTAATACACCGTGCTTAATTTCTTCCATTTAATCTAATACACAGTGCTTACTTTCTTCCATGTAATCTAATACAAATTGCTTAATTTATTTCATTTAGATGAGAAGTGGGACGCATAAATAATTTGACAAATAGGCTATTCAAATTATACAATTATAGCTAGTCCAAAGTGTTTTCTCTCATCACATTATTTGTGTTTCTCTGAGATCCGTTCTCATTGACACAATGCCAATCATTCTGTCAATTTAATATAGCCTAGTATCATTATTAGGCTACATTTCTATTTTTTTGGTATAGCCTGTTTTGTGGAACATTTTACATGATTGTCCACCTTGAATCATGCATGATGTCATGCTTGTATAAAAGCGCGATGAGGAAAGTGATCCACTACTTTGATCTTCAAGTAGACTACAGTGTAGTGTTCATTCGTTAATCTAACTATTTCCATGGAGGAAAAAACAAGGTCCTCGCATATAGCCTAGTACACAGACAGGGCGGATCTGACCATCCTAAACGCCAATAGCTAAATTAGCACATACCTTTTACAATGAATTTCAGCCGAGGGGACTTTTCGGCGAAAACCATGGAAAAAACGGTCGCCAAAATGATGTAATTCATCATTCCACGTCCTCAAGGTGCCCGATTTCCAAGGATTTAATAATCGAATGCGTTCTTACTATATTATTTCCGCTATAGGCAATCAATCGGCTTTCGTATTTGGTATAATGTCCTGATCTATGCGACTGACTATTGGCCTCAATCATGCAACCCGTGCAGGTCTGTCTTGCCGACAGTCCACTGAAGAATCGGGGTATCAGGCTCCACCTCAAAAACAAAAAGAACGGGGGTGTGAGGAATGGGGCGCGAAAAAGAAATGTAGGCTTTCGTGATGTATGGAAGCGCACCATGGTCACTTCCAGAGTAAGTCCACCATAAACGCGTAATTTGATACCTGTTGCTCTTTATGCTCTATGCAGTGTGTTGAAGGACTAATCCTATCCAATGATTTACATGTACAATATGCCCCTGTCATGTGTAGGCTTTTTTTCCTTGAACACTATTTTATATAGACCTAACATGACCAACTGGAAAACATGTTCCAGCCATTTTGTTTTAATCAGGCAGTAGTGTTAACACATTTTAGGTCCACATCAAGAAGCCAATGATGGTAGAGATGGGTTATTGTAATATTGCCCAATCAATACCTGTCAATAGTCACTTGTACACCGAGATAGCGATGAATCAGCAAAGCAGTTCTGCTGTGTGTGCATCCAAGGAGGGTTAATTGACTTGAATGTCAGAAGATGCATCAATGCCCATGGCAGGAAAAATTGCTTAATGGATGGTTTCATCTTAATGGTAGAGTCAGTGTATGCCATGGTGGATACCATCTGAGACACTAAAGAAGAGCACTTGATAGATATTTAGACACTTTTAGCAAAATACGATATTTACATAATACAGAGATCATTTGACATCTATTATTTTAGATATAGGCTGCAGCTGTATCTGTATCCCATACTTCTACCCATCGCCTATATGTATTAGTCATTGTCACCTATAACTACATTTTATTTCCCTTCTTATAAAATCCAATCAGTAAGAGTTCCACAAAATTATTTCCCAAGAAACAGTGACCCAGCACCTTTCTATAATTAATACAAATTAAAATATGTTTGGTAAGTGTAATGGATGAGACTTGAGAATCTCTAACCATGGGGTTTTAGCACCACTCAGTGGCCAGCATCAGGCCAGATAAGGGGAACAGAAAGCGTCATGGTTATTTTCTCACCTGGAATTCAGACACAAGGGCCCCAATTCAATCAACTATAGGTAAAGAAAAAACTGCACTGTGGGTTCAACAAGGTGTTAACCCTGTTAAAACTGACACACCTAACAAGTTATATCTGTGTAGAGGTGCATTAATACTGTAGACCTGTACTGTAAACCATGAGACCTACTTGAGAGTCAATCTTTCTTTGGCAGGCTGTTGTAAACCTATATAGATTTATACCTACAAAAAATAATTATTTTCTGTCCTCGCAGTCTTTAATATCAGTGAACATTGCACCTGACAGCCCAAATAAGTAAATAATGCCTTTGGATTTACTTCCCATAGGGAGCATTGGCTTATGACGCTACAGTAAAACCTTTGGATTCCATTCCATGAGACAAAATAGTTGCATTAAAACAGATAATATGACAGGCCAGGCCTCGGGTTAGCAGCCACCAGACAGACCTATATAACAGATTGAGACATGCAGAGGTAATCCAAAGGGGTTTAAATCTCTGCTCATGCACGTGATTATCATTTTTTCTGGATTATTCTGGGCAAGGGCAGGAGAGAGACAAATGATTTGCTCTCCACAGAATCCACTTAGAGCTGGTGGGCTTCATATCCGTCTGGATGGGAAATTGTCAGTGGATCGTGGATCTCCTGAGGTTGACCTTCATCCTGTCACTTTCAACTGAACTAATGAGACAATATACAGCAAAACCCAAATTTACTATTTCCCCCTTTCCCGTCAGAAAATTAAGACAAACAAGGAAGGGTAACAAACAAACACAGCTCTATCAAATAACCATCTGCATTTGCGCTGAGGTGATGAAACCAATCTATTTGTTTTCTCAGCTCTAATCGATTGAAATGGGTCTGACAACTGAGTCAAAACGTTGAGATTAACCTGCTGTGTTTTATACAGGGCAGGATGTCTCTCTAATAGCAATTCTTTAACAATGTACTGTATAGTCATTTAAAATAGAGCCCAACTCAGATCCACTGAGATTTATATGTTGTAGCAGACTGAATAGTTTTTTGTCATTTCATAAAATGCTATGGGATATTGCTGAATCAATCCAAGGCAATGGGGCAGGTTAAATAGAGGTTTTTAATCATTTCAAAATGCAAAAAGATTATATTTACAAATAAGATAGCAAAACAACAGACTTAACTATAGATGTGTACATCATTTACATTGTTTTGGAATTTTGGTCTGTGTGTACCTACACAACAAGTGTACATGAAAGAAGAGTGGCAGATTTGAGTGACACTAATCCACAGGACTAGATACAGCCATAAAGTAACCTAGCATGGAAATGTCCACGACCTACATTTGACATTGAATTTCACAAGGTGCTGTTCACCATAACAGTTCACAATTGTTTCTTTAATGGTGAGTATGATTACTCAGGCACATATTTTCAATACACTGTGATCGATAAACATTCTGGAAAAATAAACAGTGGGAGGTTACATGAATGTTATAAAGTTATATTATCATTGAAGCATTGTTGCTGATTGCAATATCTTACCAAATTATACAGTATGAAATTCTACTGATATAAAAAGAAAATGACTTGCATTTTATGTATTTGATGTGTGTGAACTATCTTACTTTGTTATAAAAAAGAAAATGGAAATAGGATTTAAAGCTTAAAGATTGTTTATAATATGACATGGAATTAGATACATTTTTATGTACAGATTATAATTTTATCACCCCCTGGACACTGTCATATTCTGATAATAACTAAATAATACGCCTGTCCCCAAAATAACATTAATGTTTATAAACTAGGAGGCTCGTCAAAAAGAGAGCCATTAAATGTTACTGTACAGTGAAACTGCTATATCTACAGTATTTGACTATAGCCTAGTACAATATTCTATATTTCTATTATAACTACATAACTACAGTCATGTGTTTGCATATTATTATAGTTTCATAGAGCCTTCAGCAAATGGTGAGTATGCAGTCTCTGAATGGATCCTCTGTGGATAAGAATAAATAGTTATCCTCAGGTCAGAGGGCAATACTTGGTTGACCTGTATTGGCAAGTTGACACGATATCCACACTTACTATATATCTGTATATCAGATCGACCAAGCACACCTGATATGAGTGAAATGATCCTTGACACTCCTTATACACATGAAAATGTATGATATGTAATATCATCATGTTGCAACACCGAATTAGATCTGTAGCACTGTAATTGTAATGTTGAATAAATACTTGAATTAAGAAAATCACAAAACATGTTTTATTTACTGACAACAGCGATTAAATAAACAACCACTGTTCATTATTTTCTTCTCCAAGATATTTTGGATGATATGTCATCAGTTATGTATAATTTCCATATGTTAAGGTTGCACTGAGGATCTAGCTTTCTGAAGGCAGACCGTGGCCCTGTGTCCCTGTAGAGCCTTCACCCTCAGGGGGTGACACAGTCAATGTGTCCCAAGTCCTCTTCCAAATAACCTTAGATAAGCTTCATGGTGAACTTGCCAGCATCCCCTCCACCCCCTCCTCCTCCTCCTACCCCCATTGAGGGACGGGGCACATAGTCGATGGTGGCTGTGTGTTTGATTTGCCCCTTGCTCTGGCTCCAGAAGAACATGAAGACGAAGCAGATAGCCACCGAGCTGAGGAAGGACAGGAAGCCCATGGTGGTGGCGATGATCAGTGTCTTGGCATCAAACGGGTACTGGTTGGCCACCTGGGTGGAGGAGTTGGCAGTTGGGGCGTTTGAGGACTCTATCCAGCCCTCATCGGTGAAAAAGGGCATGGTGCGGTTACGTGGGAAACCCTTCACATAGAGGCTGACGTACAGGCTGTCGTTGCCAGCTGCGTTGCCCGCCGTGCACTGGTATGTGCCGCTGTCCTGAACCTGGGCGTAGCGTACCTCAAGAGTCCCATTGGACAACACCCTGATGCGCCCCGTAGTGGAGAGCGGAATCCGCTGGGCCGACAACCAGGTAAAGGAGGGCACTGGGTCACCGTCCGCCTTGCAGGAGAAGAGCACCGTAGTGCCCTCCTCCACCCTGACCTCCTGGGACCTGCGGTCCACAATGCGGGCCTGCCGGCAGGTGAACAGTCTCGGGAGCTCTTTCTCCGAGAAGTCCCGGAATTCCCGCTCTCGCACCATGTCCGGGGTGGAGCAGGTGGGTTGGCGGCCGTCAAAGTTCAGGCGCTGTCGCCGGCGGACCACCCAGAGCAGCCGGCAGTCACAGGCCAGGGGGTTCCCATCCAGCCGCAGGACCTGCAGGTTCCCCACAGAGTGGAAGGCACTCTCCTCCAGCGTGCTGAGCTGGTTGGATGTCACATTGAGCAGACGGAAGTAAGCCAGCCCCCTGAAGGCCCCTGGTTCGATGCGGAGCAGGCTGCCCCCAGCCAGGTGCAGTTCCTGCAGCCGCAACAGGTCCCCCAGCAGGTTACCCTGGATGGCTGTGATGGGGTTGTAGGACAGGTCCAGGTAGCCCAGGTAGACCAGGTGGCGCAGCGCCTGGTATGGGACAGCACTGAGATTGCAGCTGCTGATGACCAGCGAGGTGAGGTTGAGGCCAATCAGGCTGTTGCTGGCCAGGGTGTCCAGCGAGGGCCAGTGGGAGATGACGAGGCTGCGTAGCCGGTGCAGGCGGCGGAAGGCATTGTTGGGCAGCGCCGAGATGGTGAGGCGGATCATGCGCAGCCGAGTCAGGCTCTGGAGCTGGGACAGTGCCTCAGTCGGGATGGAGGTCAGGTTGCTGCGGTCCAGATTGAGCTCCTGCAGGTTCTGCAGGCCAGTAAAGGCCCGCTGGGAGATGAACACCAGGTCATTCTCCCCAGCCTCCAGCTGCTGCAGGCTCACCAACTCACGGAAGGTGTAGTCCAGAAAGACCAGGATCTCGTTCTCACTCAGGTCCAGGAAGCGCAGGCTGGGCAGGCCGGAGAAGACCCCCACAGGGATGATCTTGAGGCGGTTGCTCCTAATGCACAGGGTCTTGAGGTTCTGCAGACCCTGGAAAGCATCCACCTCAATCATGGAGATGACATTGTCACTAATGTCCAGATCCTCTAGCTGGGTCATGCCAAAGAACTGGCGACGACCCAGCATCTTCAGTTTGTTACGAGATAAGTTAATGTGCTGGGCGCCACTAGCGAAGCCCTCAGACACAGAAGTCAGCTGTTTGCCAGAGCAGTTCACTTCTAAAGTCTCAAGCCGACACACACACCTGGGAGGGCAGGGCCAGGGGAAGTCCCCTGCTGACACGCCCAATAATCCACACTGGAGCAAGATGCTCCATGCCCCCCATCGGACAACGAACTCCACAAACATCTTGCCTCCTGCCTAAAAAGGGAAACAAAAAGGACATAAGCTATGAACCGATAGCTAAAGAACAGTCATTAATTGCTTACTCTCAATGCCATAACAGATGAAAACAAAGGTCTGAATATATTTTAGTATTTGTTAAGGAACTTACCGATTTACTGTGAGGATGCAGGTTTTCATAACCAGTGGTGGTCAAGTTGGGATCAGACTTGAGTTAAGTCTTCTATAAGAGATGATGTTCTGTAAAAAACATGTCCTTGCAAGTGGCCTAGAGAGACAAAAAGAGACAGGAATTAATCCTCCCCCCAAAAAAACAAATGCAAGGATTCTTTGTAGCGTTTGTAAATCATGGTTTGCAAATGCTATATTTATGGGCAAAGCATGAGTTTCCAACATTTTGAGATAAACCTAAAAAAGTGGTGAATTTGACAGTGGAATCAAGACAATCAAACACAAAAGGCATTTAAAAAAAACACCTCAACATTATTAACGTCAGAGCATAAGTAGGGTACTATTTAGAGCAGATGTCATAATTACTATCGACCTACATCTCCGTTTAATAAGACAACATCTCTACTAATTGATTATCAAAGAATACATCCCTTACCACTTTTACTCTGCACCTTATATCCTCAGTCTAAGTTGCAGGCTAAACGGTAGTGGTACGGTAATGAAACATACGCCCATGACTGTGCCCCATCTTGTCTGCACTAAAAATCCTCATTAGTGCATCCAGACCTACGCTTACTGCCTCTAAAAACCCGGATGAAGGCCAGTTGGGATGGGAGCTGTGCCCCCTGGCCATAAATCTGGATTAGGCAGGCTATCTGGGGTCAGGGCCAGTGACACGTGAAGGCATGTGTGCCCTTTGTGTGCGTGCGCACATAGGCTATACAGGACCAAGTTGAGAAGGTCGAGTAGGGAATAGTCAAACATTCCCATAGAGGCACATCATACATACCCCAAGAAACAAAAAGGTTTTGTTGTACTTTGCAGCCTCCTTTTCAATTAAGCAGGACAGCAAATGAGGGAACATTTTGAACTACACTGTATTAAAGGGATAGTTGGAGATTTGGGCAATGAAGCCCTTTCTTCTACTTACCCAGAGTCAGATGAACTCATGGATACAATGCTAGCAGCTACTGTAGACTTCCAGTCATTGCACTAATGCTAGTAAGCAATAGCTCCAGAAACGACCTGTAACTACCTTCAAACAGCACACATAGACATATTTTACTCTGGGTAGGTAGAAAGAAAGGCTTAATTGCCAAAATCTCAAACTACCCCTTCAAGTACAAATATAAAAAATATAATATGACATACATTTCAGCAACATCTGTGATTCAACTACAGTGCAAATCAGATTTTGGGAATGCTTTTAAGTTTTAATCCTGATGACAACTAAAGCAGACTAAAGCACCAACTCTTATAACCGACACAAATGCCAAAAACATTAGTCGTAACTGCAACTACATGTAGATCTAGCCCTAATAAACACCAAAGGGCAAAATCTAAATCGACAACATCAAAAGTTAAAACCTAAATAAACAAAAACAAAAGTAAAAAGTGATAGCCTAAATACATTTCCCCCAAATGGCATAATGTGATGACATAATTATGTCATTGCTGATATCTTGTAAATTAATTCAATCAGTTTACTAATTGTGGCAATGCATTTGACAAATTGGTCCCAAGATTCAACTCATATCACTGAAGAAAACATTCACTAGCTGACAAAGTGTTATCAGGCACATCAAGACTAACGAAGGAGGACTATGGACTGATCCATTGCTGTGATCTAACCAAAATACACGTTAATACGGGTACAATATAGTTTGCAATGATTTACTGTTTCCATATTTCTTTGTTCATGCCCTTTCTAAAATATATCATATAGTATTCAAAATATGCTGAAAACCTACAATCCAACATATCAAATGAATATGCATATGATATTAATAAATCATTATTATTAAAGCTCAGTCAAACCTGTGGGAGCTGCGGTCTCTCACAGTCCAACATCATAGAGACACCTTCTCACTCTGTCCTTTCTCGACACAGCCTCCTCACTGGCCGGCCAAGTTGAAATCAGTCCCAGAGCGGCTTGTCTCATCCCTGCTATTCACGGAAACGTTCTTATAGCGACTGGAAGCACTGACTCGTAAACCATCCACTTGTGCTCAGATGCTTGGAACCGCTTGTACCATTCTAACACCATAGCGCGAGCTAACAGAAATTAAACATGTTGATCCCTCAGTGTGGACTTGTGAGAGACAGACTGGCAGGTGCATGACATCACGGCGGGTAGCTAGGTGGTCCGAATTAGGCAGGGCTGTCAGAGGCTGAGCCTCCAGCGACAGTGTTATAGAATTCCTCCTGCTAAATGTCCATGCATACACCATGAAGCTAGATTGCTGCCAATGGTCGTGACCTAAGGGTCACAAAGAGACCTGACTGTCAAATTAGACAGGGTCAGGAATCTAGACTTCACCCACTTTGGATTCCACAGTATCATGTTCCTCGGGTAAAAGTAGTATTCTATTTCGTTGTTGAGGAAGCTGCTGAATGAAGTCTGTCCTGGGTGGTAAGGGTATTGGGTTTGTTTTGTTTTCAGCTGTACAGCTGATGGCAAAATGCCTGATTGGCCGATATGATGCTCCCGTAAACCTTTTGCATAACACCAAAGACCCACCCGTCCAAACCTGTGCAGCAGCCAGCTCTTATCTAACAGACAACCACAACGCCAAATGCAAACAATCTCAAAGCCAACCTGATGTAACATCCACTCAGACAATCCCATGGCAGATCCAGAAACCATGTTTGGTGTTTAGGTTGGATCCCACTGTTGCTTAATTCATTTAAACATTTGGACTTTCCCCACTCAGCTCTCCCCCATCATCACACAAAACTCATCAAGTCTGCTCAGCTGTCATCGTGTTACATCAAACTGCGGACAGATGTCAGATCATTCTGAGTGTCAAAACAGTGACCTTGCAGTGCGTACATAGCTACAGAATCCCCATTACTGACTCCATGGAATCACTTTAGGTAACCAACACACTCAGCACCGTGGCTCATGAGCCGCCTCCTCATTTTGACCCGCAGCAGAAACGGAGCAAAACAACAATCCCAAACTAAGTTTGATCTGTTTTTTTGTGATTTATTGCTTTGAAGCCTGCCTAGTATTGCCCAAAGCCTTTGGTCTTTCCTACCTCAAGACATATTTTCCCCAATCAGTATTGGCAGGAACACTTAGTGATTATAGGCAAAAAGACCCAATTGAACAGCTGCATGATGTCTAGCTGGGGACTGCTTTGGATGGGCCACAAGAGCAGTCTTGTGTTCATTCATTGTATTGAAGTCAGTCCTCAAAACAGACACCCTGGCAGACTTTTCCTCCCCTCCCCACATTGGTCACTCTCTAAATCACCATGGGGTTAGAAAGAGAATGCACAGTGTAAGCCAGGCTGCACTTTGACACTTGTCTAAGTGCTATTCTTAGACCAATTAAGATGGCTGAAATGAAACAACAGCACGGACCAGGGGGCCCGGGTGTGTGTATCCACTCTGTTGAAAGTTTCTCTGTGTGGCCTCCCGAGTGGCGCAGCGGTCTAAGGCACTGCATCGCGGTGTCACTACAGCCTGGGGTTTGATCCCAGGTTGTGTCATTACCGGCCGTGACCGGGAGTCCCATAGGGTGGTGCACAATTGGTTAGGGGAGGGTTTGGCCGGGGGGGGGGGGGCTCATCTTGCTCTAGCAACTCCTTGTGGTGGGCCGGGCACCTGCAGGCTGACTTCGGTTGTCAGTTGAACTGTTTCTCCTCCGACACATTGGTGCAGCTGGCTTCCGGGTTAAGCGGGCGGGTGTTAAGAAGAGCGGTTTGGCGGGTCATGTTTTGGAGGACGCATGACTCGACCTTCGCCGATGAGACAAGATCGTAATCACAAAATAGGGAAGAAAAAGGGGGGTAGAAAAGAAAGTCTCTCTGTGTGTATATATCTGTATGTTTTTATGTACTAGAAAGACATTGTTTATTGCTCCTGGCACAGTGTACCAGCCCCTGTGATATGCACCAAAGTTCTACAAGCGTGTATTAAAAGGTTTGTGAGCAGAACAGCTGCTAGGCTGAGGGGGAGAGAATAGCAGTGCTCTTCAGAATGCCAGATTTGTTTTCCATTGGGTCTGCCAGGGAAAGGAGAAAGGGCTCGTAAACAACGTCAAGTCAAGCGAGCCATTTCCGATTCAATCACTTTAAAACGTTTGTAAAGACAACGTATACCTCAATAATATTGCTGTGTGTGTGTATGTACAACTACGTTAGATAGATTGTGTATTTGCATTACAGTAAGCATGTAGGGAAGCCATAAAGAAGAGTATGTCTGTCTGGCTGTAAGCTTGCGACTGTGACAAATATGATTATATTAACTGTGTGACACTGTACCCACATTTGCAATTGGATTTGTTTCATCTGGATTTAATGTGTTTTATACAAATGCTTTTTGTGTGTATTTGCAACTTAAATGTCTGTGGGTTTTGGGGAGTTTCTGGTCTTTGTATGGTGGAATGTGTGGTGGAATGTGTGTTTATGCGTTGGTATGGTGTTGGTATGTTTATGCGTTGGTATGTTAGGTGTTATGCATTATGTGTGTGTGTTCTGAATATGTTTGAATTTACACTCTCACTCTGTCTCACAGGCAGAGGCAGAAGTGGGTCACTATGACAGCCCACTCAAATCAATCTGGTTCCAGAGACACTGTTCTGTCGTGTTGCAGGGTGCACTATATTATAATTCTTTATCAAGGCAGTAAGTTAAGTCACTGCTCGCACAAAGTGCACTGTCTGCTAAATTAATAATAGCACAAATAAATGAGAAAGATAATTGGTTTCAGTGTAGCACTGATGTGACATGCCAAATGAGGTCGTTTTAGTTAATAGCATTGACGGATTGAATCCATCGAGGTACAGTGAGTGAAAGAACAATGTCTGACAGGAGGAGATGGATGTA